TTGGACATCAAGGGCCCCAAGGTGGACATTGAGGCCCCCGACATCGATATTCACGGCCCCGAGGGCAGAATAAAAATGCCCAAGTTCAAGATGCCCAAGTTCGGGATGCCAGGCCTGAAAGGAGAAGGCCCCGATGTGGACGTACAGCTGCCTGAAGCTGATGTCGCTCTTTCGGGTCCCAAGTTGGATATTAATGCTCCCGATTTGGAGGTTGAAGGTGGAGAATTAAACATCAAGGGCCCCAAATTCAAGAAACCAGACATGCATTTCAGTGTCCCAAAGATCTCCATGCCGGATATTGATTTGAATTTGAAGGGGCCCAAAGTAAAGGCCGATGTCGATGCTTCTCTGCCCAAAATAGAAGGTGAACTGAAAAGTCCCAAGCTAGACATCAAGGGGCCCGAAATTGAGGTGGAATCTCCCAAGCTGGATATCGAAGGAAAAGCTAAAAAATCCAGGTTTAAGCTTCCCAAATTTGGCTTCTCTAGTCCCAAAGTGCCCAGTGGTGATGTGGATGTGAAACTGAAAAAACCCGAGGTTGACATAACTGGCCCCAAAGTTGACGTCCACGCTCCGGACATGGACGTGCAGGCCAAAGCGAAGGGCTCCAAGTTTAAAATGCCTTTTCTGAGCATTTCTTCCCCCAAAGTCTCCATGCCGGACGTGGAGCTAAACCTGAAAGGGCACAAGGTGAAAGGAGATTTCGATGTTTCCGCTCCCAAATTGGAAGGGGAACTGAAAGGGCCCGACGTGGACATCAARGGCCCCAAGGTGAACATCGAGGCGCCCGATGTGGATATTCACGGCCCGGAGGGGAAACTCAAAATGCCCAAGTTCAAAATGCCCAAATTCGGCGTGTCGGGATTGAAGGCGGAGGGGCCGGAGTTGGATATTAACGTGCCCAAAGGGGACCTGGATGTTTCCGGTCCCACGTTGGGTTTGGAAGGTCCCGATTTGGAAATTGAAGGGCCGGAGGGGAAGCTCAAGGGACCCCACATCAAGATGCCAGAAATGCACATCAAGACCCCCAAGATCTCCATGCCCGACGTCGACCTGCACCTCAAAGGCCCCAAAGTAAAGGGGAACGTGGACGTGCCTCACCTGGAAGGGTCTCTGAAGGGACCCGAATTGGACATCAAAGGACCAAAAGTGGACGTCGAGGTCCCTGACCTGGACATTGAAGGCCCGGAAGGAAAAGTCAAAGGCCCCAAGCTGAAGATGCCCGATCTGAACATCAAGGCACCCCATATTTCCATGCCGGACTTTGACTTGAGTTTGAAAGGCCCCAAGCTGAAAGGAGGGGCAGACGTGGATCTCTCCGTGCCCAAAATGGAAGGTGACTTGAGCGGGCCAGAAGTTAACATCAAAGGACCAAAGGTCGACATCGATGCGCCTGACCTAGATGTGGAAGGGCCAGAAGGGAAATGGAAAGGTCCCAAATTCAAGATGCCAGAAATGCACATAAAAGCCCCCAAAATTTCCATGCCCGATATCGACTTAAACCTTAAAGGTCCTAAGCTGAAAGGAGACATAGATGTTTCTGCTCCAAAGCTGGAAGGGGATTTAAAGGCTCCAGACATCAGTATTGGTGGCCCCAAGGTGGACATTGATGTGCCTGACGTGGACGTTCACGGCCCGGAGGGCAAATTCAAAGTGCCCAAGTTCAAGATGCCCAAGTTTGGGATGCCCGGCTTCAAAGGAGAAGGTCCCGAGGTGGACGTGAACCTGCCCAAAGGAGACCTGGAGCTTTCCGGCCCAAAGGTGGACATTGAGGG